GGGTACCTGGCCACATCGGGGCAACCCCAATATGTCCTCTGGGCACCCAACGCCAGCTTGCCCAGATGCGAGAAAGTGCAAATGAATACATCATGCAACCCCATGGTGAGGGGACTTAGGGTGGACATGGAGGTATCCATGGGGGTGAAGTGACCTTAGGGGCCAACTGCACCAAATCGCTCATTGTGCAGCAGAGACTGAGGACCAGAGAGAAAAAGGAGTTCACTCAAGGACACACAACAGGCCCCCAGCAGAGCCAGAAAGGGAGCCAGCACTGGACTCCAGATCCAGTACTCCTCCTGCCGAGCTACCTCCTTATTCAGAGAAGGAAACTGAGGCTGGAAGAGAAGGCATACTGGCCCTGGGAAAGCTGGCTACCAGCACTTCCCACTCCTCCCCTGGACTTGCCTCTGCCAGGAGGACATTAGCTACTCAGTCTCCAGTCTCAGTCCATTCATCTGTAAAATGGAGATAATCCTAATATCTGTCCTCAGGGGAGCTGAGAAGATTAAACAACATTGGGCACATAAAGTGCTTTGAACAACGTCTGGCACCTGATAAGAGCTGACAGTTGTAGATGCGTTTTGTTTAGTTTTTGTTTTAGATAGGGTTCAAGCCCAGCACGGGGCCCAGTGCAACACTTGAACTCATGACCCTGAGATCAAGAGTGTGACACTTAACCGACAGAGCCACCCAAGGTCCTCCAGTTTTGCTTAGTGGTTTGAAGTCTTTCTCCCTGGGAACATGGCGGCACCCTAGGCAAGAGGCGGGTGGGACTCGGCCTTCCCCACACTCCCTGCAGGCTCTCAGAAAGTGGCACTGAACTGCCCGCAATGTGCTGTCCTCAGAGCTTTCATGTGGCCACCTCATCTGAGCTGGGACGCGCAGGCATCAGCTCACTCTATAAAAGGGGAGGGAGGCTGGTTTACATTAGGGAGGACCCACCATGTGCCAGGCACTAGGTATGCAAAGCTGCAAATGACCTGGTTCTCGCTTTCAACTTGCTCAGGATCTAGCAGCAGAGACTGACACAAAGCCACACGAAGGGCAAAGTAGTTTATTTTCTTATAAAATTTCAAACACACGCTGAGCAATTTCAGCAATTATCAAGATTTTTGTCACATTTGCTGGACAGGGTGGTTTCTAAATTTCAGTTTCTTACTTTTTATTATGGAAATTTTCAAACACACACAAACCCTCAACTTCCCACTGTCCTGTTTCATCCATTCCTCCCCACCTCTGCAATTCTTTTTTTCTGGAGTTTTTAAAGGCAAATTCTGGACATGAGCGCCAATTCACTTGTAGACACATCAGGATGGATCTCCACAGATAAGGACTTTTTTTTTTTTTAATGTTTTTATTTTTGACACAGAGAGAGAGACAGACAGAGCATGAGTGGGGGAGGGGCAGAGAGGGAGAGGGAGACACAGAATTTGAAGCAGGCTCCAGGCTCCGAGCTGTCAGCACAGAGCCTGATGCGCTGCTTGAACTCACGGACCGCAAGATCATGACCTGAGCAGAAGTTGGACGCTCAACGGACTGAGCCACCCAGGCACCCCGGGGTTTTCTTGTTTTTTTTTTTTTTTTTAAGTAATCTCTATCCCCCAATGTGAGGCTTGACCCTAAGATCAAAAGTCACATGCTCTACTGACTGAGCCCACCAGGTGCCGCAACAGATAAGGATTTTTAAAAAGCATAACGACTATACCATTATCACACCCAACAAGGTTAACAATGATTCCTTAATACCAGCTAATACCCAGTCTGTTCATTTTTGCTAGAAAGCATTTCAGTGGAAGTTGCAGAGGTTATTTTAGAGGGGATTGCTGATTGGGTGCCAAGGTGCTGGTCACACTGCCTTCACGCCATTAAGGCTCAGCCCACGAGGCCTGGATGCTCTTGTGTCCATATGGAGACTGAGGGACAACTAATTACTCTCACATGATAGGCAATCTGAACCCAACTTGAACCTGGAGAAGAATCTTCTGGAAGGAAATGGCTTCCCCAATTCAGGGAGGCTGCTACTCTGGGAGTGGCAGGAGTTGGCTGGGAATAACCCTACTCTGTCACCCCCAGGCCCAACCCGTGAACTCCTCATGCCCAGGACTGATGTGCATCTTCCAGAGCTACTCATCCACGGGTCTGGTCCAGCGTTCTCTCTTCAACTTGCAAATCTATGGGGTCCTTGGGCTATTCTGGACCCTCAACTGGGTACTGGCCCTGGGCCAGTGTGTCCTGGCTGGGGCCTTTGCCTCCTTCTACTGGGCCTTGGACAAGCGTCGGGACATCCCCACCTTCCCCCTGATCTCTGCCTTCATCCGCACACTCCGGTAAGCCTGGGGCAGGGAGCTGGGAATTGTGAGCATGGGAGTCCAGGGGTCCTGGAGCTGCCTCTGACTACCTAACCCCTCTGCAGATATCACACAGGGTCGCTAGCCTTTGGAGCCCTCATCCTGACCCTTGTGCAGATAGCCCGGGTCGTTTTGGAGTACATTGACAACAAACTGAGAGGTGAGCAGCTAGCCCCTTGGGGAGCGGCTGTCAGGGGCCAGTGACCAAACATAAGTCGTCCCCCCCTGCCCCTTTACTCCCAGGAGCCCAGAACCCTGTGGCCCGCTGCATCATGTGCTGCTTTAAGTGCTGCCTCTGGTGCCTGGAGAAGTTTATCAAGTTCCTAAACCGCAATGCCTACATCATGGTAAGCCCTCCTACACAAGCAGCCCCTTGCTGTGGGGTCCCTTGGCCCAGGCCCCTGCCCTGGCCCAGGTAAGCTGTGCACAGGTAACTCTGATCTTTTGACCTCACTCAGATTGCCATCTACGGGAAGAATTTCTGTGTCTCAGCCAAAAATGCCTTCATGCTGCTCATGCGGAACATTGTCAGGTCAGGCTGTCCCCCACCCCCATGATCTCCCACCCAAGGCCGGGTTCCTGGGCATGCTGTGCTCAGAGGGCCTCGAGCTTGGTTTAATGTTCTGCTGCCTCCATCCATCTTCAAATGTGACCAATTTTCGTTTTACATCTGACACAGCAACTTATATAGCCACTCCTGTTTCTAGCTCTGCCAGTCCCCTCATGCCCGACCCACCCCAACTTCCCATACAGGGTGGTCGTTCTGGACAAAGTTACAGACTTGCTGCTGTTCTTTGGGAAGCTGCTGGTGGTTGGAGGTGTTGGTAAGAGCCAGGGCTGGGAGTTACAGGCACAAAGGGCAGGGACACAGGGCAGCCAAACAGGTGACCTCAGAGGAGGGATGACACTGACCTCCAGACCTCTCCCACAGGGGTCCTGTCCTTCTTTTTTTTCACCGGTCGCATCCAGGGGCTGGGCACAAATTTTGAGAGCCCCTCCCTCAACTATTACTGGCTGCCCATCATGGTGAGTGATTCCCTGGCTCTGCCTTGCAGTCCAGCAACCCCCCAAAGAAGTCTAACACGTCCTGTATCTTCCAGGTCTCCATCCTGGGAGCCTACATCATCGCCAACGGCTTCTTCAGTGTTTTTGGCATGTGTGTGGACACACTCTTTCTCTGTTTCTGTAAGTAGACACCCTCTACCAGTTCCCCCAAATTTCAAGGTGCCAGATTGTTTAGGGTTTTTTGGAGACCTGGTGCTTTTAGAAACAGCAATTTTGCTAGTTAACAACAACTTTGCTAGTTTGCTAATTGGCAGGGTCCCCCAAGAAAGAACATTTCAAGGGAGAGGACTCTGGTACCCTTCCCTAACTAGAAGTTAGTCACAAAAGACTTCCCAGCAGATGGCTGTAGTGAGTGGGGATTTTCTTACCCTCCTACATACAGTTGACCATTGAGCAACACAGGTTTGGACTCCACAGATCAACTTAAGTGTGGATTCTTTTTGATAAATACCGTACAATACTGTAAATGTATTTTCTCTTTCTTAGGATTTTAACATTTTTTCCCTAGGTTATTTTATTGCAAGAATACAATATACAGTATATATAACATACAACATATGTCTTGTCTGTTTATATTATCAGTCCAACTTTGGATCAACAGTAGGCTATTAAATTTGGGGAATCAAAAGTCATAGGTGGATGGTTGACTGCACTGAGGTCAGCGCCCCTTAGCCCATGTGTCGCTCAAGGGTCAACTCTACATTCAAGATTTAGTACCTACTCCAATCTGCAATTCGCGATTGACATGCATTTTGTTGTTGTTGTTAGCGTTACCACGCTATGAAATATTATTGATCACACTTTACCGATGAGAAACAAATTATATAACCTACCCAGTAGGTTACAAAACCTGACCCTAAAAGAACAGCCCGTGGCGTTGCAGCCTAAAACCAGGCAGCTTGTCTCGTCTTCCCTGATTTTCCCGGGGGAGTGGGGTGGCCCCCGAGGGTCCGCTCTAACGGTCTGTGTTGTGGCTCAGTGGAAGACCTGGAGAGGAACGACGGCTCCCTGGACAGGCCGTACTACATGCCCACAGCCCTTCTGAAGATTCTAGGCAAGAAGAACGAAGTGCTCCCGGGGGACAAGAAGAGGAAGAAATGAAAGATGCGGCCCTGATTCAGGGCTGCACCCCTCCTGTACAGCCTCCCAGCCTCACCCCTCCTTCCAGCTCTCGATTTTGTAGTTTAAAAAAATTTATTAAAGGTTGATATTTTGTTTTCTCAAAAAGTCTGAGACTTTCATTCCCTCCATGACATTCAGTCCTTTTTTTTTTTTTTTGTCGCTTTTTTTTCGCCACTAGCTCTTTAAAATAGGTTCCGCCCCCATGACGCGCCCCGGTGCCACGGCCAATCAAAAGGTTCCTGCGGAATGATGCCAGCCTCTTCTTCATCCCAGCCAATAAGCTGGGATGAAGTCCAGGTCACAGGCTCTGGGGCTTCAAAAAGAGCCAATTGGAGGGTCCAGCTCCAAGGCGCTAAAAGGTCATGTGAGGAGTCAGAGTGAGGAGTCAGCCAATTAGAGTCGCGGAAGTGCGACAGGTGGCTCGACTCGGGAAGGGTAGGGGTGGTGGAGAGGGAATAGCTAGCATTTAAAGGGCCCGGTCAGCTGACAGACGCCAGCCCGCGTCTAACCCAGGGGGCCTGGGTCTGGCTGCCCGGGGAGAGACGATGGCGGATCGAGCCGGACAAGTGCTCCTGGGCAGACCCGGGGACCCGCGGATGCCGGGGTTCTGGGGAGGCTGTAGAGTTCAGGTATTGGCCACGATCATCTTCCTGCTGCTTTTGTCTCTGGCAGAATCTGGCGCCAGGGCAAAGAATGACTTCAGCCTGGTGAGTCTCCCCTCGTATATCCCCATCCCCGACCCACGCGGGTGGTCTGTATCCAGCGTCCCCCGGGACGCGGGCTACTGAGATCCCTCTCCGAGGGACTCTCCCGCCGCTCTCGGACCCCGTTCCCTCCATCCATTCCCAACCCCTCTTCCTCAACGGGTCCTTGTCCTCTTGCCCTCTGAGTCTCCTCTTCATTCCAGCTCCTTCTCCAGCTCCAGCCTCCCAGAAGGTTCCTTCTCCCCTCAGAGCCCTTCCCCCGCTCCGAGCCCCCAGCTTGTTCCAAACTGTCCTCAGGTTCCTCTTCCTTATTCTAGGACACACACACCCTCCCACTCTGATTCCCAGCACCCCGTCTTTCCCAGGGACACTCGACTCCGAGCCACTATTCAACCGTCCTAAAACCTGAAGTCAAATTTGTATCGATCCTTCCTCCTCCCTTCGCAGGTTCAGCCGCTGGTGACCATGGAGCAGCTGCTGTGGGTAAGCGGGAGGCAGATCGGTTCTGTGCACACCTTCCGAATTCCGCTCATCACAACCACTCCTCAGGGCACTCTCCTTGCCTTCGCTGAGGCCAGAAAAATGTCCACATCGGATGAGGGGGCCAAGTTCATTGCTCTTCGTAGGTCCTTGGACCAAGGTATAAAGATTCCTGAGTGGCAAGTGCTGGTGTTAGGCTGGATGGGTGGGGAGACTGACCTGCCCAAGGGCTCTTGACATAGGACCTCTGGGAAGGCTGGAGGCCTGAGTCCCTGAGGGGACTTAAGGAGGGAAGCAGTACAGACCAGTGATCTGGAAATTGTAATCACCTAGGGTTGAACATTCAAAATTTATTGAGCACCTGCTATATACAGGCACTGTTCTAGGTTGTGTGAATATGGCTGTGAACAAAGTAGACCAAAAATCCCTGTCCTCATGGGGCTTATATTGTCTGTGGGGAGACCGACAATAAGCATAATAAATAGGCGAGTTTATTTTTTGTATTGGAAAGGGATAAATATAATGGAGAGAAATAAAACAAGATGTTGCAGATTGGTTGCAATTTTAAGTAGGTGACTTTTGAGTAAAGAAGGTGAGAGTAACCCTGAGGAAGAATGTACCAGGCAGATGTCACAAGCCTGTGACTTTTCTCCAGGAGAAAACTATTTGAGGAATGAGAAGGAGCTTGTGGGATAGGATGGAGTGAGCAAGGGTAGAATAGATAAGGTCAGACACGTAAGGCAGGGGGCGGGGGAGGCAGGTTTTTTAGGGCTCTGGGGCCATTCTAAGGCCTTGGGTCCCTAGCAAGAGGTGGAAATTAACAGGGAGAGGTAGAAAAGGCTTCGAGTGCTCACCCTGGATTTCTTCTCTTTTTTCTTTAGGCAGCACATGGTCTCCTACAGCCTTCATTGTAGATGATGGGGACACCCCGGATGGGCTGAACCTGGGGGCAGTGGTGAATGATATGGAGACAGGAGTGGTGTTTCTTTTCTATTCCCTCTGTGCTCACAAGGCTGGCTGCCAGGTGGCCTCCACTATGTTGGTGTGGAGCAAAGATGATGGTGTTTCCTGGAGCCCTCCCCGGAACCTCTCCTTGGATATTGGCACCGAGATGTTTGCCCCTGGACCAGGCTCAGGCATTCAGGTCTCTATCCTGAGATGGGTGGAAGGGGCTGCCCTTTGGAGAGTCTGGAAGATGCCCCCAATTAGACTTTTTCCCAGGGAGAAGGACTTATGAAGTCAGATTTTCTCTTAGATGGGATTCCTTGGAAGAAAGGGGCATCCTGGGAGGAACCCCCTCCTGAGGAAAGATAGAATTTTGCCATTGTCTTCCCATTTGGGGGTTGTACACAGCTTGGTGAGTGAGCACACCAAGCATGGGTTTAAGCTCCCATACACCTCTGTGGCTGGACCCCCTTGTTTGATGCACAACCTATCCGGTGTATACCCTAGATGTCCTAAAGGAGCTTATTCTGCAAGAGTTTCTTAATTCAGGCAGTGGATACTTATGGGATCCTCCCGGGACCCTCAGTACCAAGGACAGAATTGAAGAGGACCAGATGTATTCTCACACTTAGGAGGTGATGGGTTCTCCTTCTCTACCTGTGAGCTTCTACAGTGTCTCCCTCAGTGACATCCAGCTTCCTTTCCCACAGAAACAGTGGGAGCCGCGGAAGGGCCGCCTCATCGTGTGTGGCCATGGGACACTGGAGCGGGATGGGGTCTTCTGCCTCCTCAGTGATGATCACGGTGCCACCTGGCGCTATGGCAGTGGGGTCAGCGGCATCCCCTATGGCCAGCCCAAGCGGGAAAACGATTTCAACCCTGATGAGTGCCAGGTCAGGAGTCCATGGGCTCTTCCCCACCCACTCCACTGGCCCTGCCCTCCAGAGCACCATTTCACTCACAGACCCAGCATTTGCCCTGCCCCCTCCCTGGGTCTTCCTGAAGCCATTTTCCCTCTCTTCAGCCCTATGAGCTCCCAGATGGCTCAGTCGTCATCAACGCCCGGAACCAAAACAACTACCACTGCCATTGCCGAATTGTCCTCCGCAGCTATGACGCCTGTGATACCATACGGCCTCGTGATGTGACCTTCGACCCTGAGCTTGTGGACCCTGTGGTAGCTGCAGGAGCTGTAGCCACCAGCTCCGGCATTGTCTTCTTCTCCAATCCAGCCCATCCAGAGTTCCGTGAGTGTCTGTTGGGGGCGGGGGTCGTCAAGGGAGCCCCTTTTATCTAGAGAAGGTGTGGCCACAGACCCTCCTTTTTCTGACTCTGCTGCCCTCCCCAGGAGTGAACCTGACCCTGCGCTGGAGTTTCAGCAATGGTACATCATGGCGGAAAGAGACAGTCCAGCTGTGGCCAGGCCCCAGTGGCTACTCCTCACTGGCAGCCCTGGAGGGCAACGTGGGCGGGAAGGACCAGGCCCCCCAGCTCTACGTCCTGTATGAGAAAGGCCGGAATCAGTACACCGAGAGCATCTCCCTGGCCAAAGTCAGCGTGTATGGGACACTCTGAGCTGCACACCTGACACCAGAGTAGAAGGCCCTGGACTCAGCCTTCAGAACCATGGGCCCGTAGCGGGTCTGCTAGAGGTGCCTAAAAGACAGTTCCACCTGCCTGTAGACTGTAGCCTTTTGCAAAATCGATTTCTCTTTGACAGGGAAGTCACTCTTTTAGGACTACAAGCCTGGCTTCTTCCACACGGGGTGTCCTGCCCTCACTTGGGAGCACATCCCTTCCACATCATTGCTGGCTCTGGCCCCCTACCCCCTTCTGCCTTCCTAGGGCAGTGATTGGTCCTTTTTTTAGGCGGGGTTAGGTAGGCCTGTGGAATTGGATATATTTGGACTCAGGGAATTGGGGAAGGCTGAGCTTCCTCTTTAGGGTAAGATACTGGCTATGGAGCAGGTTGGTGAAAGTACTGTAAGGGCAATATTTGGATTCAGGGTAAAGAACTAGGTGCGCCACCCACCTAGACTATTTATAAATTGAACTATTTGTAACTTAACGTTTTTAATGAAGGAGAGTGAGCACTTGTAATGTCTCTGTGGTTCTGTCCATGCAGATGCGTGTTCTTCACGTACACTTGTAAGAGGCTGGGAATGAGCTCTGTGGAAGAAGCTGCTGTTGCCCATGAAAGTCACAGCACTTTGGCAGTTAAATCTTCTTTTCCCTTTCACATCTTCCTCATCACAGAAAAACAGATTCATCTTCATAGGTGTCATGAGGAGTAGCAGGGGGAGCCCCATGAGATATTAAGCAATCTGCTCTGTTTTATATCTGAGATGGCGTGGGATATTGTCTTCCATCAAGCCAGGGGGGAGGTGTGTGAAATGCAGATGGAAAGCCTTTCCCAGGCCAGCTCAGCCCAGCAGAAAAATAAGCATTGTGACAATTTACCTGAGAAAATAGCACCATCCTAAGGCAGATGCTATTAAAAGAACAGATGAGTGGAAGAGCCATGCCTTTACTCCATGTGGAAAGAAAATACACTGCCTACATAAGCTTTGGTGGTCCGAATCTCAAAGACTCAGGGGGCGCTGGGTGGGTCAATTGGTTAAGCATCCTGACTCTTGGTTTCAGCTCAGGTCATGATCTCATGGTTCATGAGTTCAAACCCCACATTGGGCTCTGTGCTGACAATGTGGAGCCTGACTGGGATTCTTCTCTCCTCTCTCTGTTTCCTTTCCTTTCCTGCTCATGTTCTCTCTCTCTCTCTCTCTCTCTCTCTCTCTCTCTCTCAAAAAAGAAAAAAAAAAAAAAATCTCCCTTTTCCTCTACCCCTCCCCCCTCTCCCTCAATAAAAATTTTAAAAAATGAAAGAATGTCAAAGACTGAGGAATAAGGGTCACATTGACATACAGTTGCAGTTTATTTTACTTTCAACTTCCTTCTCTAAGAAATGTTAGGATAATTCATTCCATCAGAAAAAGTGAAAAAATGGAATAATCTCACTGTATATGAGGATATGGTGTAATTTAATTTTGTTATATTTTATCCAGAATTTGTGGTCAATAATGTAATACTTTAATTTTTTGACTTACAGACATTTGTGAAAACAAAGGTAGAGAAAATGGGTTAATGAACCCCGTGTACACCCTATGTATCCAACGTTTGCTTCTTATTTTTTCTTTTTCACTTTGATTTTTTTTTTTTTTTGAGAGAGAGAGAGAGAGAGAGGTAGAGAGAAAAATCCCAAGCCAGCTTTGCACTGTTAACACCAAGCCTGACGCAGAGCTTGATTCCACAAACTGTGGGATCATGACCTGAGCCAAAACCAAGAGTTAAATGCTTAACCAATTGAACCACCCAGGCACCCCTCTTTGTTGAAATACTTTGAAGCAAATATCAGACCTTGTGACATTTATCCCTACCTTTTTTCCTTTTTTTTTTTTTTTCTTTTTAAGAGCGAAAGTGCACGCACAAGAGCAGGGGAGAGGGGCAGAGGGAGAGACAGAATCTTAAGCAGGCTCCACATTCAGCAAGGAGCCCAACAAGGATCCCACGACCTTGAAATATAAGCGGAGCTGAAATCGAGTCAAACACTCAATAAACTGAGCCACCCAGGTGCCTCCACCCTTACATTCTTGAGTGTGCATCTCACCCTTTAAAATGGAACATTTTATTATGTAACCATAATGCCATTGCACACCGGTAACATTAACTCTGGTATCATCTAATACCCAGTCAATGTGCAAATTTCATCAAATGTCTCAATGTCTTATTTATAGTTGATTTGTTCAAATCAGGATCCAGGGGTGCCTGGGTGGCTCAGTCGGTTGAGCAGCTGATTTCAGCTCAGGTCATGATCTCACAGTTTGTGAGTTCCAGTCCCGCATAGGGCTCTATGCTGACAGTTTGGAGCCTGGAGCCTGCTTTGGGTTCTGTGTCTCCCTCTGTCTCTCTCTGCCCCTCACCTGCTTGTTCTCTCTCAAAAAATAAAATAAATAAAATAAAATAAAATAAATCAGGATCCAAAAAACCTACGTATTTCCTTTTTTTTTTTTTTTTTTTAATTTTATTTATTTATGTTTAGGAGCGAGAGAGGCTCTGCACTGCCAGTGCAGAGTCGGATGCGGGGCTCAACCCACAAACCATGAGATCATGAGCTGAAATTGAGAATTGGATGCTTAACCGACTGAGCCACTCAGGCACCCTGAAACCCTGTACATTTTATTTTGATGTGTCTTAAACCTAGGTTGATCAATAGTCCCACCTCTCCTCTTTGTTTTTCTTTATAACACCTATGCAGAAATAAAGGCATTCATCCTATAGAACGTTCCACTCTGATTTGTCAGCTTCCTCAGAGTGTCATTTAACTCCTTCGTCTATCTTTCACATTTCCAATGATCAAACCTGAAGATTTGGCTTCCCATTCCATCTGGGGAGGGGGGGTGGTCAGTGGGACAAGATCCTTCACAGGTGCTGTGTGCTTCCTGGGGGGTGGGGGGCAAGTACTGTCTGCCCCTCCCTCTCAGAGTAAAGCTGAGATTGAGCAGTGGGTTCAGATGGCCACAGCCTGACCCCTCCTTTGTAAGTTTCCCCCAACAACCTTCCAACTGTCAATTTCATTCACAGGTGGGTTTTGCCTGAATCAATTATTTTGAGGGGTTGTGAAATGTTGATTTTTAAATTCTATTATTTCTACCCCATTTGTTACCTGGAATTCTTCGGTAAAAAAAAGAGCTGTCCCTCATCAAGGCTGTTGGATTACCCTGAAGCATGGTTTGTAGGGAAAGGCAGGGTAAATGCTTAATTTCCCCCTTTTCCTTGCCAGTTGTGAGTAAACTGATGTAATACTTTGACTTGGCCAGTAAATCACACTGTTACCAACCACACAGGAGACAGAGAGGAAGAATCTCTGGCTGGCAGGCGGAAGCAGGGGGATATATGAGGGAAAAAAGAAAAGAGAACCCTGGGCAGCTTGGTTGTAGGGCTCTGCTTTTCTTTTCTTTTTTTTTTTTTTTTTTAAGTTTATTTTTATTTTTGAGGGAGAGGGAAACAGAGTGTGAGCAAGGGAGGGGCAGTGAGAGAGGGAGACACAGAATCCGAAGCAGGCTTCAGTCTCTGAGCTGTCAGCACAGAGCCCGACATGGGGCTCCAACTCACATTCCTCAAGATCATGACCTGAACCGAAGTCAGCCACTTAACGTAATGAGACACCCAGGTGCCCCCAGGCTCTGCTTCTCTAATGCAGATCACGAAATAGGTATGGCATTGGAAGAATTAAGGGGGTGGCATCTGCAGCAGTTGGGACATTCTGCTAATACCACTAAAAATTGCACATCTGACAAAGTCTTGCTAAACAACTTTATTAGAAATACTGGAAGAAAGAGAGGAAATGATGCCATGAATGTCTGACCCATGAGCTATTGTGTCATGAAGTAGACATGGCAGAAGGCTTGTGAAGAGTGACCATGTTCCTTCTTAGCCACCAACCCTCAGCTGAGAGAGGATTCTCCCCAGGAGTGGGTGGGGCAGAGCCCTGGGCCCCACCCCAGACCTTCAGGTTCAGTATTCTAGTAAGGGTCTGGGACCTCGCATTTAAAAAAAAAAAAAAATTTTAATCTTTATTTATTTTTGAGAGAGAGAGAGACAGAGTGTGAGCAGGGGAGGAGCAGAGAGAGAGGGAGACACAGAATCCGAAGCAGGCTCCAGGCTCTGAGCTGCCAGCACAGAGCCCGACGCAGGGCTCGAACTCATGAACTGTGAGATCATGACCTGAGCCGAAGTTGGACGCTCAGCTTACTGAGCCACCCAGGCGCCCCTGGGACCTCGCATTTTAACAGGAACTGCAGGACAGGCTGATGCTGAGGTCTTTAGACTGCACTTTCGGAAACTTTCTCTTAGACATTTAGCCTAGACTCAGAAAGAATAAACTTCAAAACACTGTAGAAAAGATCTCAAAAGAGAAACTAAGTAGGAAGAATTTATGTCTAAAGAAACCAATAACCCTTAAAGCTAGCAGGGTTAACCTGCTGTTTTGAAACCTACCTGTTTACCCAAGCATCTTTTTTTTTTAAGTTTTATTTACTTAATTAATCTCTACAGCCAATATGGAGCTCGAACTCACAACCCCGAGATTAAGATTCTATTGACTGAGCCAGCCAGGCACCCCATCTTGAATACCCGCCACAACAGATGGCACATGGTGGGTGCCTCATACAGGAGGAAAGACAAATCTAGGTGGGTAAGGAGCTAGTGTCGTCTCAGATGGAACGTGTTGTCCCAGATGGAACGTGTTGGGAACATGTTAGAAATGTTTGACTGCCCCCCTGTCCAGAACCCCAAAGCCACCCCTACACCAAGACCTACAGAGCCAGAAGCTCTGGGGGTGGGGCCCAGCAATCAGTGTATTAACTCTCCAGGGGACTTATGCACATTCAAGTTTGAAAACCAGGATTAGAACAAATGTCAAGTGTGCAGAAAGGGTAGAAGAACTTTTTGTTGGCTTTTTTTTTTCTTTTAATGTAAAAGGGGAATCGGAAGGGATGTCAGGAAGCTAGAAGAGGAAGCTATAGTGCTTATCTGTACAAATGGGATGGAGCTGACTCGAGACTGAAGCCTGGTGGAGTGCCTCCTAGGTAAGCAGCCATATTCTAGCATGGAGCCCACCCCTAGCACAGCTGCCTCCCCTCACACACTCTCAGCCCTCCCCAGCGTCTTGGCTCAGAATTGAACCAACTCTGGGCTCTCTCTCCCAGTCCTCAGGCTGCCCTCAAAACAGTGGGAAAAGGTCAGGTGTGCCTGGGTTGCTCAGTTGGTTAAGTGTCTGACTCTTGGTTTAGGCTCAGGTCATGATCTTGTGGTTCCTGAGTTTGAGCCCTGCATGGGGCTCCATGTAGCCTGCTTGGTATTCTCTCTCTATATATCTCTGTCCCTCCCCCATTCACACACCCTCTCTCAAAATAAATAAACTTTAAAGAAAAAACCCACATTTTTACTGTAAGGCTTAGCCAACACAAAAGTAAGGGATCTTCACAAACCATAAATAATAGAAAGCAAGAATCCAGAAAATCAAGTGGA